AGAGGATTGCTTGCGCTCACATATTATACTGTTGGCTGCAGCTACTGCATTAGAAAGATAAATTACATTCTTTGCCAGGAGAAATGCAACCAGGGCGCCAAACGAGATGGCAGCCAGAATGATCAGGACTGTTTTCAACCTTGGTCATAACAGCCGAGTTATAGAATAGTTTCCGCGTTTGCTGCGCAGGCGGAGTTATCCAGACAGGAAAGTTCCGAGATGGCTCAGGACTGTTGTCTGCGGGGGTGCGTTGAAAGTGAAACTCCTGCTAAATCATTACCGGCATCCATTCAGGGATCCTGTGATGGGATTTATATGTTCAAGGCAATGGTCTAATTATAAATTATTATTATGGGAAACTCATTCCTGGAAATTCCTATATGTTATAAAGGGAGGCCAGAAATAGGAAATCCAAGGTGCTAGGATTGAGTGGTTTAGGGGCAATGGCCCCAAGATTTGCCGGGACTGGTGTGCCTAGTTAGAACCTATAAACCCTAAACACATGTCTGCCTGAATCTGGCCACTCAGAATGGCACTGAGATTCCCCAGGACTGGTGTGCCTAACTACAGTATACGTAAATTAAAACGTAAATATATAAACCCGCTAAACGCGTGTCTGCTGCAATCCGTGTGTAGGCCACTGAGAATGGAATCGAGATTGCCCAGGACAGGTGGCCTAGCCAGTACAACCTTTTACTGCATCAATCCGTGTGTAGGACAAGCTGGCCTCTCAGAATGGCACCGAGATTCCCCAGGACTGGTATGCATGCCACAGTATGTTTGCATGAATCCATGAAGAGGAAAAGCTGGCCGACCAGAATGGCACCGAGATTCCCCAGGACTTGTATGCCTAATACCCTTTCAACAGTTGTTTGCATGAATCCGTGTGTAGGAAAAGCTGGCCAACCAGAATGGCACCGAGATTCCGCAGGACTGGTATGCCTAATACCCTGAAACAGTTGTTTGCATGAATCCGTCTGTAGGAAAAGCTGGCCGACCAGAATGGCACCGAGATTCCCCAGGACTGGTATGCCTAATTACCTGAAACAGTTGTTTGCGCGAATCCGTGTGTAGGAGAAGCTGGCCAATCAGAATGGCACCGAGATTCCGCAGGACTGGTGCATCTAATGCCCTGAAACTCAAGCTTGCTTCATATGAATCCATACGTAGGAGAAGCCGGCCAATCAGAATGGCACCGAGATTCCCCAGGACTGCCGCGCCTAATCAATAAAACCTATGCACGGGCTTGCATGAATCTGTTTTATGGGAGGAGCTTTCCGTCCAGAGTGGCACCGAGTCTTTCCAGGACTGGTGTATGCAAAATTAGTTATACGAAGCACTTGAATTCATGGCTTATGTGCTAAAGGAGGAGCTGCGCGATCAGAATGGCACTGAAGATCTTCAGGACTGATTCTTCTTTAATAAACATCACATTCACTCAAGCCGTCTCCTGTTGCTACTGCGAGGACTCATTCTCGGCTGGGGACAGACAGGATACAGCCGGGGTCTTATGGCCCTTGAACCCGTAAACCACCAGCCCTTGAACTTTAAAATGTATATTGGACTTAAATCTTAATATGTATATAATATATATATATGCTAATAATTATTATAATTAATATGACAGCAAAAGTTAAGTCGAATATTTTGTCATGGAATTCTAAGCAGCCCCTGCATTAGGGAATTCTGGGTTAAGGTTCAATATTATATAGGTGCAACTTTATTGGTAATAATTTGCGTCCCGGGTTCTTAATTATGATAATCATGGTTTGTTTGGTTCATCCTTGACTTCAGGGCTCGCAACTGCCGCTTACAGAGGAGGAGTTGCTGGAGTGGGAAAGCAAGAATCTTCAGGACATTGGGGGCTACAGGCGTAGCAGGCTTCCGATAAGATTGGGGGAAACCGTCCGCAGGATGTCCGCAACCCAAATCATCGATCGCACCCCGCTAAAGCCTGCGTTGTAGCCCTAATTAAATTTAAAGTGATGACCCCGGCCCAGTTGCCATTCGAGCCAGGAGCCTGTGGCTCCAAGCGAGCCGGAAGAGCCACCAGCGACACAGCCTGAGGCAAGCGAATCTTTCCAGCATCATTGTTTTTAATCGGTTTCTCGGAAGGTGTGTCCACCTGCAGAATCTGATCATGATCTGGCCGCTAGACACGAATTATGGCCTTATCCTGTTTTTGTTTCATTTCTCGAGAGCCCTGGTCATAAGGATCCTGATGCAAAGAAAATCCTACCAGAGAATGCGGTCTCGCTTCCCCCGTCTCTCCAGAGACAGCTGAGTGAACTTGGGATCGCTGCCGAGTTAGAGGTTTTCCTCCAACAGAGGGCCCTAAAAGCAGAGGCCCGAAAACAAAAGGCTGTGAAGCAACTCGCTAGCGCCCTGATTTGAATTGTGTTATTGTATTGAATAGCTACGTACCATAGAGCCTTAACCATACGTGCCAGTGACTTTAAGGTGCTGCCAAGGCAGCAGCAAAACGCATGCCAAAGTCGAAAGCAAAGGCCAAGGCAAAACAAGCGGAGGAGAAGGAGCCAGAGGAGCAAACTGAAGCGAAGCGCAAAGCAGAAGATACAGCAGCACCCACCCAGGAGGAGATCCAACCCAGCAAGAAGCCAAGGACAACGAGCCCCAGGACCCAGGATGATGAGAACATGAAGGATGCTGACAGCAATGCCACTGGCAAGGGCAAGGGCCGTGGGCGGGGCAGAGGAAGGGGAAAGGTTGCACAAGCTGGAGCTTCTTCGGCAGGGAACGAGGATGAGTCTGCCGGCGCCAAGACGCACCACAAGGTGGTCTGCTTCAAGCACTCGCATTGCAAAATCAAGTCCCTAAAGTCTAATAACACCAAGCTTTTTTGGGTAGTTGTTCTCGGCAGGTAGTCACGGTTTCTGATATCATGCACGAGCTGGAGCCGGTGTTTGCCGTTGGGTTAGTTCGTCCAGACCAGACTCAGCAAGCCCGAAAGCTTCTTGAATCATATTATTAGTTATTCATGCTTATATGAGCTTCGTAAGGATGTAATATATATGGGAGTTAATAATAGATAGCCTATATATAGCTCCTATGTAATTAAGAATCTTTATATTTGGGTGCCATGGGCTAATACTGGAACAATAATATAATATATAAGGAGCTATACCATGAGTGCGCCGGATGATGTGACCGGCGGCGCCAGTGTGGGCATCCTAGCCTTTCAGTCTTCCTACTACATCTACGGGACCATCGACTCCCCATTTGTGCAGCAAGTGATTGCATCTTCGGGTCTCAAGGCTTGCAACTGCCCAATCAAGTAATCTACTTTAATGTTCTCTGCAATTTGGTGCCGAGTAACCAATTGCCAGGTCAACGAGTCCAAGAAAGGGACCACAATCTCCTTCAGAAAACATGGGTTTCTCTACGGCTTCAAGCTGGCTATGATCCTTGCGGGGTGGGTTCAGGAGCCATCGCCGCTTCCCCAGGATGTGAAAGCCTTCGTGGAGACTGTCAGCCGAGCAACTACTTTGAGCTAGCGAAGCTCTTTACGCCTAATTTGCGACCTGCTGGTATGCCAGCAGGGCTGTCTCAAAGCCTTTAAAGCTAGAGCCGGGGAAGTCAGGGGCCATATGTCTCAAAAGAAACGCCGGACTGGACCTGTGCGCTTGAATTTTGCATTGTACTATGCAAGGAGATGTCTGTGCACGCAGGGTTTGAAAGGCTTCAGGCATAATAGGGTTTCGCTAGGCAGCATGGATCTCCACCCGCTTTCCCTAAGCGGAAATGCCTGCGCTATGCTTCTAGCAATGGGGATTCCGCCTTTGCTGCTTCTCAGCAGCACATCGATATCATGTTTTCAAGAGACCACTAATGTAAGCAGAATTCGAGCTTGACCTTGTATTCAGGTGGTTTTCGGAAATACTCGAAGCAGCATACAACACGAAGCCCAAACTATAATTATTATTCAAACCTTGTAAGCCCTGAACCTTAAATCCTAAATGCCCTATCCTAAACCCTAATAACCCTAAACCCTAAACCCTAAACCCTACTACTACTACTACTACTACTACTACTTACCACTACTACTTACCACTACTACTTACCACTGATACTACTACTACTACTGCTGCT